TTTCAACAACACTCTTTATTGTGGAAGTTTTCTTTAAATTTCCTTGTCTACTATCATAGTATTTAATTTCCAAGAACTCTTTTTAATTCTCTGAGTGTTTCTTTTTTTATGAATCCTGTTCTTGTTACATAGATTTAATACATTCTCTTATTTCTCTGAGGATAGTGATGAGTTTTTTAAAAAGTTTTCTTTTCTCCACATAATCTCTGTTTCCTCTAACTGCTTTGTTTTGTTAGTTTTAAATCTCTGTTTTTCATGTTAGGGCAGGGATCCCAAAATTTGTCTGCATGTTAGAATCGCCTAGGAAATCTGAAAAAAAAAGTCCAAACTTTAGGCCACAAGCCAGACCAATTACACTGCAATTTTTGGGAATAGGGCTTAGAGATCAGTATATTTGAAGGTTTCCAGGTGATGTTATGGGGTTTTGTGGGACAATTTAAGTTACTTCTCAATGTTTTCCTCTGTTGTCTTAGGATTCAGCTCTCCTGCAGGTGCCCAATTGATTACCACTTATCCATCTGCCTCCCACTTCCAAAAGTCTATTACTGTCATCTCCTTTCATTTTTTTTTTGTATGTGTTTTTGTCATTTCACAAATCCCTTTACTGTTATTTTAATGGGGTTTAAAGAAGGAGCAGAGTGTGGAGTTAGGGAAGAGCACATCGAGGAGGTAAGTTTTGAACCGGAAAGGCCCTACTGATACATTTACAAATATATCAGCTGTGATTTTACTTCACTTAATTTATAAAAAAAAAAAACCCACCCCAATTTTCATTAAATATGAGAGCACTGACATCACAGTCACACAGTAAAACCTCATGTAGTCAAATTTTGCTAAACCTATAATTAGTGATAATGGACTTGGTTAAAGTTTACCTTTGTTCAACTTGGCAGGAGAGGATTTGCTTAAGAAAAAATTACCTTTGTTCTACTTGGCAGAGGGAGGATTTGATTAAAAAAATTAGTGTAAACAAGATTGTAGATTAGCAACCTAGGTAAGAGAGAAAATATTCAAGGATATTATTAGAACTTACACGTAGAAAGACAAACTAGTTCTTCTGATTGCAAATGCTGCTTGTCAATGTGAATCTGATACGGCATGTACTTGAACCATACTTTATTAGCTATTAATTTGTATTACAGAATTAAAAGAACTGGATTAAATTTGCACTTCTTTTTAAACAAATTTCATACTTTTTAAATAGACTTCTCAGGTACCTGAACTTGGAATTGTTAAGAACTTACTCTAATGAAAATAACAGAAAGACAAACTGTGAAATATAACATGTCATTTATAATTAATAAATCACTAAACACAGGCAAGAAATTCAGGGCTATAAAATGCCATGCATTTTCACAGTCAATTAATACTAAATTATTGGGCACATTCAATTCTGTAGCTGGGTGGGAAAAATCACTATATTTAATTGCTTTCAAATTCACAATTTTACCTGTGAAACGGTGGCCCTCTTTTCACACTCTAAGGGACTATCATAAAAGATGGGGAAATTGCACCTCAGCCTTCCAGTTCACAGGAATGTTGTTTGTTCTGCTTCTTTTAAATACTACCCATTGGTCTTTTCTTCCCACCCTCCATTTTTTCCCTCCTTCCTTCCTTCCTTCCTTCCTTCCTTCCTTCCTTCTTTCCTTCTTTCTTTCCTTCCTTCCTTCCCTCCTCCCTTCTTCCTTTCCTTCCTTCATTCCTTCTTTCTTTCCTTCCTTCCTTCCCTCCTTCCTTCCTTCCTTCCCTCCTCCCTTCCTCCCTCCCTCCCTTCCTTCCTTCCTTCCTTTCTTCCTTCTGTCCATCATTCCTCACTGACAGACATTCAATGTGCTAATCTTTATGCATTAAATTAACTGGAGTGTTTTCTCCCATGTGGATGGATGTGACTCAAGGATATAACCCAAGATTTAGCTGCACTTTCTGCCCTTTGAAGAGTCTTCTTTGTGAAGAGTGCTGGCTTTCCCTAAGAAGCCCCAAGAATTTTGCTCAAAATTAGCTTCCCATTTTTGCTCACTGCTTACTAGTATGATCTGTCTGTAATAGCAAGTCCAAAGTGATGCCAGTGGAATGGTGGAAAGAGCACCCCATCATGAATTTAGAGAACTGGACTTAAAAAGTCACTTAAGGATCTAATGAGATTAGTGACTTCCAACCTTATTAATGTAAAAGAAAAAAGTTCACAGACTCCCTTATAATAGCAGTGATACTTCTGTTATTTCCTGTTGGGAAAACACATGACTGAAAGCTATTTATATTCAGCAGTTCTTTAAAGTAAGTCTGAATTTTACTCACCACACCAGTATAAACAAACATTTGAACAATAGTCCCACATTCAGTTTGTGCTATTATTTAGCCATTATATCACTTAGGAATTTTATGTAACTTCTAGACAGAGAGCTCTAGCTATGGGGGATTAAACACATAAAGATTTAGACCCTCACAATAAAGAAGCCCAGAGGTGTTGGTTTATAGCCAAGGTCTCTGAAATTCTCTGGCCTTTTCTGCGTGCTCCCAAGGTGGTTGCTGGAGCTCCTGCCACAAAACCTGCTTTTCTTAAAGCTTGAAGAAGGAGGGGCAATGGAAAGGCAAAAACATTTTTCTTGAAAGCTTTTTATTCTTTTATGTTTATATCTCCATGACTACCCCATTTGCAAAGGAGGTTGAAGGATGTAGCACGTTATGTAATAACGTCTGTTAGAAGGGAAGATGGGAGAAGGCTGTCGGATAGGCAATCTATGACACAGTCAGGCTCCAGACAATGCCGAGGCTGCGTCTGGAGTCGTGGGCAACGAGGGGGTTCTCCGTGTATGTGTTGGAGACCACAGGTAGACATCCAGGATTTCTTCCATCTCTAACACTTTCTGATACTGGGAGGCTGACATCTTGACATGCTGTGTTTAAGGCATTTCTCAGAGGAGGCAGCAGATGGTGAAAAGAGCACTGAACGCAGAATAAGAAGACATGGATACAAATCCTAACTATTGGCCGGGAGCTTGGGCAAATTGTTTAACTTCTCAGAAGCTCAATTCTTCCCCTACAAGAAGGAAATCAGAATGTTTTCCCATAGGGTCCTTGTGAGGATTGATCTAGACTTAGTGCAATCTCAAACATATAGGTGCCCACTCAACGTGACTTTGAGTTGAGGAGTGCAAGGTCCTAGTCTAAACTCAGATTTGGGGACAACCAGGGGAATGTGATGATGTGCTAGACTCTGCCTTGAATCCCATTTAGTGGTGCTGAGGCAGGCCCATCACGAGGCCATTTCCCAATACGAAACTGTGTGTTGCAAATGACTCGACCCCAGAAGCAGGTGTCAATTGGATTGCAGAGGTGTGAGGCCTGCTCCATCCTGCATGTCTGTGCTCTGGAGGTCTGTGTAGGTATCTGCTTTATATTTCAGGATTTTCATTTTTTATACTAGTTCATTTACAGATGTTTGATCAGGTGTGAACTTCTACCAAGAAGACTATAAAAAAGCAATTTAACAAGTGAGTCTGAAATGCCATATGAAGGGTCAGACTTTACACAAATTACGTACTGGACTTTAAAAATGAACAAAGTTGCTCTTTCTTTTTCATTTCCTTGAGACGCTCCTGGAAGGAAAGTTCAGGAGTTCAAACTGCCTCTTTTGGGCTGCTGTCCAAGCAACCACATCTCCCTGCCCTTTCTCACACTGTTCTCTTTCCCTGAAATGTCCTTTCCTTTCTATTCACTGGCAAAAAATGATTTATCTTTGAGGTCCTGGCTCAAGCAGCATCTTCACTTCAAAGCCTTTGATAACCCAAGACCCAGGCGGAAGAAATCCCTCTTTGCCCTGTGCGGCTGTGTTACCTATCTCGCATCTTTCCCATAATAACATTAGGAGTTTAGTGAGAGCTTCCCATGTGCCTGGCACTGTCCTAAGTGCTTTACATATGCTCATTCAATGCTCATAAAAACGTGATGAGGTAGGAGCTACGATTATCCTATCGCAGATGAAAATTGAGGCACAGAAAGAGTAAATAGTTTGCCCAAAATCACACAGCTAGAAAATGGCCAACTCAGAATTTGAACCCACGTTTCTTAAACAATTACAGCATACACATAATTATTTAATAATGTACTCATCAGTTTCTCTTACTAGATTATAAGAAACTCTCTGTCAGGGGTTCTGTCTTATTCCTCCAAGCGTACCCAACATTTTATCTTGAATGAATGAATGTATATATACACATACTATCCTGGGGTAGCAAATTCAAACTGTACAGAAAACTTCAAAAGGGACAGAAATTACTCTGAGGTCCCAATTCAAGTTTCTCTCTCCACAGTAAACACTGTTAATCATTTCTTGTGATTTCTTTTAGAAGTTTTTATGTGCATATCAACATATATGCAAATGCTTTAAAGGATTTATCCCAATAGGATCACACTTACATTCTGCTCCTTGCTAGTATGTACAAGTCTATTTTCAACTTAAAAAAAAAAAAAACCAAAAATAAAAGCCAAAGGGATGATTCATGATATTTTGATTATGGTACCTTGAAAACTCCATCAACTTAGGGTCCATAAAAATTGTTGTCATTTAAAATTGTTGATCATAGCACCAAATCCAATTTTTAAAATGTTCTAACCACATGGTAGTAACCTCAAATCCTTTGGGGAAGAGGAAAAGAAATAAGGAAAGAGATAATTATTGAGCTTAACCAATGTACTTATCAACAGTGCATACTCAGAATCTTTCATTTTGGTATTCTTCTGCATTTACAGAGAAGTATTTATTGTGGTTTTTTCGAGAAAAGGAACTGGGGAACAGAGAGCTTTGAGTGCGGTATGAAGGCTCAAAAATTCATGGTGGCAGCAGTCTTGGGAGCCTGGGCGGTGGGCGTGCGTAACAAACCATGGGCTCCTGCCTAGCACAGAAAAGTTTCCATAAATCTTGGATTTTTCCAAAGAACTTTAGATTCACACATGCTCTGAGTTCTTCTACTGTGCAAACATTTCATCTCCTTCTCTGGCAGGGAAAACACCTTCATTTTCCATGTGGTGCAAATACGTACCTCTTTCAGAAATGGAAAGAGAACAAGAATTTCTGCAAAGGTGAACCAGAGAAGAACAACGTATTTGTTTGTGATTTTGATCCTCACCTATGGACTGGACACTTGAAGCAGGACCAGCTCATTCTTGAAAGTCAGCAGAAAGCTTGGACTCAGATGCCCTTTAGGGATATACTTCTTTCCTCCTCAGCAGATAAAATCTCCTGTGCTCCGGCCTTTAATGTAGCCAGGAAACCTTAACATGGCACTTTTCTCTGTCCACAATTGTCTGGTTAGCCTATTTTCTCTCTAGAAAGTTCCCAAACAGCATTACATATATTAGTGTCTATGACTTAAAAAAATTATGGTAAAACATAACATAAAATATACCATCTTAACCATCTTTAAGTGCACAGCTCTGTGGTTTCTCAGGACATTTACACCTCCATGCAACCATCCCCTCCATCCATCTCCAGAACTTTTTCATCTTGCAAAACTGAAGCTTTGTATCCATTGAAGACTAACTCCCCATTCTCCCCTCCTCCAGGCCCTGGTAAACATCCTTCTGTTTTCTCTATGAATTTGACTCTCCTAGGTACCTTGTATATGTGGAATCATAAACTATTTGCCCTTTTGTGATGGGCTTATTTCACTGAGCATGTTTTCAAGGTCCATCCGTATTGTAGTCTGTGTCAGAACTTCCTTTTTAACGTTGTATGTATATACTACACTTTGTTTATCCATTCATCTGTCAATAGATCCTTGAGTTGCTTCCACCTTTTGGCTCTTATGAATAATGCCGTGAACACGAATATACAATTATCTCTTTGAGTCTTTGTTTTTAATTATTTTGGTATAAACCCAGGATTGGAACTGCTGGGTTATATGGTAATTCTATGTCTATCTATGTATCTATCTATCTATGAAACTGCTACATTGTTTTCCACAGTAGCTGCACCTTTTTACATTCCCACCAACAGTGCCCAAGTGTTCCAATTTCTCCACATCCTCACCCACACTGTTTTTTGTTTGTTTTTGTTTTTGTTTTTGATAGTAGCCATCCTGATGGGTGGTATCTCATGGTGGTTTTGGTTTTTGTTACTTTACACTCAAAAAAATCATTCTTCATTCTGGGTTCAGGTGGAAGTGGCCACAACTTATTTGTGTTTGAAGAGGAATAAAAAACGCAACGTTCTCTACTGAATAGTAGCTGAGGGAACATTGGCCAGCCTATCCCTGGGCCTAAATATGGAATACGACCTTTAAATGGTACTGGCTGGGAAACTGCACCACCTGGCCGTGCTGGTCCTTAGTGACCTCCCCAGGGGATTCCTGACAGTTAAAGTGTGTCCGGACTCTTGGGGTGGGGAACTCCCCCTCTCTCGTATAATACCAGTGGCAGCTTTGTGCGAACTCTTATATAAAAGGGAGAGTGTTCTTCCAAGCGTCAGGGTCACGCATGGACACTCCTTCTATTTTAGCAGTGGTGACAGTCTAGATGTAGAGACACACAGAAACTTCTTGGCAGTAGAGAGAGGATTCAGAGTAAACACTGTTTGTGCAGACACTTGAAAATGCTTGTTTGAGGAAGATTAAATTGAACTAGTGTTTTGGTTGCTTTTCTTTTTCTAAAAACACTTCCACATTTGTCCCTGTATCTTAGCCTCCCAATAATCTTTGGATCTGGTAGGAAGTAAGCCCATTTGGCAGAGAAAAACATAGCCTTTGAGATATTAAATGCCTTCCTCAGGGGCACACAGCTGGTAAGCAGAAATGGGACTAGAACCTAGCACACTGGCTCTAGACCAATAATCAGTTTTGATGGAGATGATCCCATCAGGGAGCTAACATTTCATGGATTTGAATAGCCTGCTTTCTGCAGGACTTTTTATGACTCGAAGCACGGTACCCTGCTGAGCAGGGCAGAACAGCTTGTATCTGGCCCTTTTGCCATAAAGTCTTGGTGAGAAAGGCATATAGGAGTCTGACTCTGTGAAGACGGCATACGTCACCGGGGCCTTCTTCACCTCAATACTCCTTGAAACCCTTAGAAATTCGGTTTGGTTAATCCTGCTTTAATTAAGTTTAGAAACCACTACTTATGACTTTCATGATCATTAAAATCAACTTCTCGAAATATGAATATTATAGACTAATGATTATTCTAGGTTTTTGTTGTTGCTACTCTGCTTAGCTCAAGTCAGAGATCGCTTGAGATTTTGTATCACTGATGATATTCTTTGAGTAATTGGTGGTTTCCTACCGGATTTTAAATGTCCTGAAGTAGACACAAGGGCCTGGGCAGAGCTCATCAGGCTATTTGCAAATATGCAAGCCTCTGCATAAATGGTCCATCCTCTGGAATTTGCTAACTTGAGACTTATGAGAACTATGTGTCCCAGAGAGCACATGGGTACTTATGAACACAGCAGGTGAACACCATTGATAGACAAAACGGAACCAGCTGAGACTTATGGCTTCTCTCCACAGAGGTCATCCATCAGCTCAGGTGGCCCCTAATGAATATGAGCCCCAGAACATGATGAAGCTGTTGTTACTGGGAGAGTAGTATCAGCGCTTGAGGGTTTTAGATTACGGTGAGTATTAGTGGGAACATGGTGATGGTTTCTTTAAATAAACCACTTAACAGCAGTCCCTCTTCTGCTTTAAAACAAAAGATGAGAAAAACTTACTTCAAATGGCAGACTCTGATATGTGTTCTGATATGTATTCCCCTGCGTAATGTATAACTTTTATTTTTATTGTTTATATTGGTACAGAAGCATCTTTTGTCAAGGATACTATGATTGGACGGAAGAACATTAGTGACTGTGAGAAACAAGTATCACTCGTATCTTGCTCTCTGGAGTGAAATCCTCAGAGCCTACTTTAAAATTATATACCTTAAAATGTGTCTTATTTTTTTGTATAACCAAAGATACCCAACTTTACATTACTGAAAAACTGTTTAATTAGTGGATAATATTACATGCTGAATGCTTGTCTCAGATGCCATTCCAAAGCATCCTTATCACCTCCTCGTGCCTCAGATAATGCCGCCCTGTTAAAGCTTATTCATACATGATCATGTTCATTCCACGGGGCTGACACCCCATGGAAGAGCTCACGGAAAACAACCAGAAAATTTTCTTCTGTGTCATACTAAAACACAGTGTGAAAATAAAAAGAGACTCTTCCCCTCATTTTATCTCATCTATACTGAGCCATTTGCAAGAGAATTTAATGAAAAATTTGGAAGTAACTGGTAGTTAAGAATATTTAGTATATAGCACCCATCTGGGAATGAAGGTAGGGGTTTGCTAACATATTAAAACACTAACAAAAATTTGTAGCTTGCATTCATCAAGAAAATGTCATGCTAAACTCATCCCTTTTTCTCCTGGGTTACTAAACTAGCTGATGTGGGAGTGCTGTGATTAAAGATTGATGTCTGCAATTGAGTTTCCTACCATGTCTTGTGGGACATTCAGGGCATGTAAACTGGATAACAGAAGGCTGAAGTTGTGGGTAATTAAAACACAAGACTCAATATGTGTTCCTGAATGGATCAATAGGAACCTAGAGCTGTGGTTTTCAGCATGTGCCCTGCTGCGGCATGCATGGAGGATGATGGTTGCTATCCTAGACTTGTGTACGTGGTTGTGTGCAGGGCTGTGCATAGTGCAGCGGACTGGCCACAGGTCCAGCCTATGCGTCCCATTCAAGAAAACATACCTGGAGGAGCGCTTGGGTGCCTCAGTTGGTTAAGTGTCTGCCTTCAGCTCAGGTCATGATCTCAGGGTCCTGGGATCAAGTCCTGCACTAGGCTCCCTACTCAGCAGGGAGCCTGATTCTCCCTCTGCCTCTGCCCCTCCCCCCTGCTTGTGTGCTCTCTCTCTCTGTGTCTGTCAAATAAATAAATAAAATCTTTAAAAAAACACACCTGGAGATGAGTTAGTGCAAGATACAGTATTATGAAAGTCAACTTATCACTCTGATTTGGAAAAATAAAAGGCTTACAGATTTCCATACCTTGGACATTATTAGTAACAAATTATTTGTGATCCTGCAAAATATCAGCTGTCATACTGCAGTACTATAAAATACTCAGCCCTTTGTCCCTTGATCTCAACGTGTTCAACATTTTAAACACTAACTTTAAAAAATATTAAAAAGTGTGCTTTGAATCTCCTAAGGAACCACATGGCTTGGGAGCTTCTACCACCACTGAAGCTGAAAGTAGCCTGCAGGAGGGAGGCATCATTCAACACTGGAATTGGCTTTCATTGCCAGAAAACCTACAGATGAAGGAAGCTTTAAACCAATATTTAAAAGTTTATTTTTAAGAAGGTACTTTTGATAACTATATTTAAAGAGTTGTTTTCCTATAAGTCTTGCTCCAAATGGACTTTTATTAAATAATGACAGAAATGTCAACATGATCATTTATTATTTAGGTAAATATTTAAAAAAATTATTTCTTATTTTAATGGAATATATGTTCAAGTATGGAAGATTTTATTTCACCTCTGTCAAATCTTAGCATGTCCTCACAACACACTGATAAAGTTTGGTGAATGAAACCCTAGTTCACCAAATCTGAAAGAGGAGTCTTGAATGTGGCAACAGAATTCACATTCCATTAAGATGAACTTTGCAAATTCGAGGGATAGGACCCTAGCAAGCTAACCCTAGGGTGATTGTTCCCAACCCTTGACTGCACATTAGAGTCACATAGGTTGCCAGAGAAAATATACAAGACACCAGTTAAAATAGAATTTCAGGTAAACAATGAGTGATTTTTTTAGTCTAAGAATATTGTATGGACCATAGTTATGCTAAAAAAGGTATTTTTTAAAAAAAAATTTTGTTTTGGCATTTTTTTAAAGATTTTATTTATTTATTTGAGAGAGAGAGCACAGAGGGAGAGGGAGAGGGAGAAGCAGACTCCCTGCTGAGCAGAGAGCCCGATGCGGGGCTCGATCCCAGGACCCTGAGATCATGACCTGAGCTGAAGTCAGATGCCTAACCAACTGAGCCACCCAGGTGCCCCAAAGGTATTTGTTTTCTATCTGAAATTTAAATTTAACTTGGCATCCTATGGTTTCATTTGCTAAATATGACAACTACTAGCCTTGAGAAAAATACCAAAGTGTGGGCTCCACTCCAGAGTTTCGGTACAATCGGTCTAGAATGAAGACTCCAGGATTGGTATTTTTCAAAGACTTTTCAGGTGATTCTATCACGCAGCTATGGGTGGAGGGTCACTGCCCTATAATGCATGTTTTGACTTTGAACCTTGTTCCATGACTTCCAAGTGTAAGCTTAACCTCCTTTTCAAGGTATCTTATGCCTTAATTGCTATGGTTCCACAAGCTTTGTGTAAAGTAAGAACCACTAGGCAGCCTTGACCTCTCTGCCATTCCTTAGATAGGGGAGCTTTTATTTTAGGAATTTCTCTCTATTCAAATATTTGGGAAATGAAATGTCTCTGTGCAGATACT